ATTAAGACGCGGGTTTTATGAATCACTATTACATAGTGTCGATAAAAGATTAGCTTATCATACTTAACCGGTGGCACCCGAAACAAATACATGCGAATGCAAGTAAATTGTTCACCTTCAAAACATGGGGACATAAAGTGCAGGTCAAGAAAGGTTTGGTTTGGTTGTTGTTTAACTCCGCGCTCAGCAATATTCCAGCTATATGACGGCGGTCTGTAAAACAATCGAGTTTGGACTAGACAGTCCAGTGATCAACAACATGAGCATCGATCTACACAATTGGAATGCGATGACATGTCTTTAACAAAACGTTTTGAAAGCTTTGCTAAAGATCTGATTATCATTACCTTGCCCAAACCTTTCTGACCAAGAGTTTTATGACGCCCTGTAAAATCGTCGTACCTATTCTGAGAGGCTGGAGCTGCACGAATATTACTCGAAATTAAAGGAAACCCTCTTGTCATATATACTCATGGAAACAAATAAGGGAACACATGAAAGTACAAGTGTTCCTCTATTCTTTCCAGGTTTCTTCACAAGGTATGTATTGCACTGTGAGTGAAATTCTGGAAATAAATAAAGGAACATTTGTACTTTCATGTGTTCCCTTATGATGAGTATATAGAAATGGTTTTAAATTCTATTCATATATCTAGATATGAAATAGTGTTTCACTAGTCTCTATTGTTAAAATCATACTCAATCACTTATTTGTACCTTATACATTCCCAACATGCACAGCTACTGTTCGGAGTGGATCGGGGGTACCTACACAGCAACGTGTACTGCAATAGTACTTATAGCCAATGTTTGTGTAGAACACAAAAGAAAGGGGAAACAAGCATTTGCTTGTCTAAAGTCGCTTCTCCTAACATCAACAAAAACGCTTCTTGTTATTCTCAAGCTTCTCTGGGCCCAGCACAGAATGTCATTTGTTGTGTAGAACTTACTCAAGCTCGGTTGGCAGCTTGGGACTAACATATACAGTATAGATTTGCTTAATGTGTTTCAGCGCTCTTGTACTTATGGACACATTTGATAAAAGATGTAGAATCTGCACAGATATACATCCAAAACATCTTGGTTACGTGCATGGTTTGATGCAACGTTTGATGCAATATCCAGCAATATCATGAGTGGGCTGCCCAAGCTGTACTTATGTTGGGAATCGAACTCAAGTCGTCGATGTGCGGAGGTTTATCTACTAGACTACACCACCTTGTTTCGTTAATATTCAGGTAAATGATCATATAATCCCTGAAGCTGACAGTTTAGTTCCTGGAAATGCAGATGTATCAGGCGAGCAGTTGATCGATGACTCATCCAGGAGTAGTGAGTGAGTTTAGTTTTACGCCGCGTTTAGCAATCTTCCAGCAATATCACGGCGGGGACACCAGAAATGAGCTTCACAAATTGTGCCCATCTGGGGAATCGAACCCGGGTCTTCGGCGTGACGAGCGAACGCTTTAACCACTAGGCTACTCCACCGCCCCTACAGGGCAAAGACACTCCACCCAATTATTTGGAACTGCCACGGAATCGCTGATCAAGATGGCTGTGCTGTTGGCGTTTGCAAAAGAGACGTGTATACGGAACCCAGAATGGGCCTCACATTCAATGACTGGCTTTAAATTGTGTATACATGTATACCAAAATATCTGGTTCTTACTCATGCTACAGCTGGCTCATATGGAGTAGCGCGACAATCCTAGAATGAGCCATGCCGTGGATCACTAAGGTATACGCTTACCTAGTAGGTGTTCTCAATATAACGGGGATTCATGTATAAACGGCGTAGATGTTGAGATATATTGAGTGAGTGAGTTTAGCTTTACGCCGCTTCTACCAATATTCCAGGATATCACGGCGGGGACACACTTTGTACCCATGAGAGGAATAAAATCCAGGTCTTGGCGTGACGAACGAACGTTATACCCCAAGGCTGACCCAATCACCCACAAGACTGAGGTTATCTGCATTTCCAGGTGAAATAATCAAAGCTGATGTTTTAAGGAGCTGCGTTGCGGCGAATGAAAATTTTCACATGAAAAATCATAAATTTTCTTTGAAAAGGTAAACAAACCGTAGTCTATGAGTTTATTTTCCTACCGATATACCGAACTCCGCTTATAACGAACCGACGGATATAACGAACGGTTGTTTTGATCACGGCCACTTATTGTATGTTATAGTCTCCAAGAACCGCACGGTCCCACCACTACAAGACTTCATCGAAGGGTTCCGGGTTTTCGATAAGGATCAGAACTTCTACATCTCCAGTGCCGAATTGAGACATATACTCACGTCACTAGGTAAATGCATTGTACTCTTCATTTATACAGTGTCACATGTCAATTTCCAAGCCGAAACAATGAGTTAGCCTAAAATCTTACAGGTATACAACTGTCAAGTAAGAATTATGAATAGCGGTAAATTTGTGACAGCGTTCTACCAGCGCAACAGGGGTACGGCAATAGGAAGCATAAATCTCAGATAACATATGTTTATCCTCCAGTACGAATATAGACGTTAGTCATTATGTTTTGTAAAGCTATACAGTTAGGTGATGCTCCTGAAACCTCCCACGTGCTGTACCGCAGGTCCTGCCACTCATAACCGGGTTTACTTGTAGATATTTTTATGCCACAGGCTTGGTTATTTCGGTTTCCATGACAACGCAGTGAGACTTGCCTACATGGGATACCTCCTCCCCGATTGCCGTCTAATGGGCGCATTTGTTCAAACTCAGCTGTGACTTCCGGAGATATTCTTTCAATGTTATTTTTAAGGTAACCGGGGTGTACTGTTTATTTATGACAAAAAGCGGATACATGAGGGATTTATCAGATCAAATATTAATTACATTTCTCTACGAAACATTGAATGCAATTAACTGTCTTTTTTTTTATTTTTTTTGTATTATTTTTAACATAACAGAGGTCGGTAATGCCACTGTTCTGTAGATTGATACTCAGAGTTGTAACCGGAATTCAGCACGGGCTATTTTCATAAAGTCCAGCTTCACCAAAGAATGTACCGCGATCGAAGATCAGAATCGAACACGCCCCTCACACCTGTACTCATGCATCAATGGCCTACTTCCTGTGCTCATGACATGGATGCTTGAAAGGTTACCTCCCTTTAGCAACTCTCATCCTCGCAACCACATGCCTTCCATACGCTCTCAGTCCATCCGAAGGGCACCTGTTTCAACTGACTTTATATGGTAGGGTTTGTGGTCGCATACAAAGAACATGTGCGTACGTATATTAAGTGCCAATTTTATGGCTAGACGGGATAGTTATTGAACTGCCAGGGATGACCGATGTTCCGTTCGGGTGAAGAAAAGAATGCAACAGTTTCCAAATATATAAAACTCGAGTAATGATGGTGCACAAGTGCCCCGTGAAAGTTTTGGTTATGCCATTGTTTGTATTGAGGACAATAGGGTTCAGTTCCTGGAGTGTTCTGTAACATTGAGTGAGTGAGTTGAATATTCCAGCTATATGGCGGCGGTCTGTAAATAATCGAGTCTGGACCAGTCAATCCAGTGATCAACAGCATGGGCATCGATCTGCACAACTGGAACCGATGACATGTATCAACCAAGTCAGCGGGCCTGAATACCCGATCACCTAAGTCGCCTCTTACGACAAGCATGGATTACTGAAGATCAATATTCTAACCCGGACCTTCACGGGCTCTGCCTACGAGAACATCCACTGTGATACTGTTGGACTATTATATAAAACGTTATAAACATTACATCACTATATAAACAGTACCAAAGAATCGTGGAATGTTTGTCATTTAGTTTGTCTCAGCAGTAATGATTACAGCAAGACGCATTACAGAAGAACAGCCTGGATAACCCCGTTTTGATAACACTTTTCAACATTTGTGAAATTGATATTACCAGAACAAAAATATATAATAATATAAATTATATTTATATTCATATAACCACTAAAAGTATAATAACTAACTATCATTAAATGGAAAACATTAACTTTCATGACTGGAAGAGTAATAAGGACTTTACCATCAATAATCGAAAAACTGAAACTAATAATAAACTTGATATAAAAGAAAATTGAACAATTTAAAAACTATATTCTGAGGGAAAAGCAGATATAAATCTGATAGACTAGACTTCTTCCTATTCAAAAGAAGAGAAAGTTTACAAATATTAAAATCTAAGATTATACAATTAGAATCAAGCAAACCTTCAAACAATTAGTGATCCGCATTAAGGTGAATGCTATCAAGCAAGTGAAAAACTATTTTTCTCATTTAGAAAACAGGAACTGTATGTTTAGGCTTGGAGAAAATATTGATAAACAGGAGAAACCTTTTTCCCAAAAATATGTTTCAAAACCTTTGGGAAAATTATGCGTAAAATGTATATGACAAAGCCAGAAAATATACAGTCCCGATTTTCTGTTGAATAGACACACACGTAAAGGCTATGTGTATGTATCATTGAAAATCAGCGATGACACCAGGTGTTTGTGAACGACCATAACAAACTGGCGACTGTGACAGCATTAGCGAGTGACTGAGTGAGTTTAGTTTTACGCCGCTTTTAGCAATATTCCAGCAATATCACGGCGGGGAACCCCAGAAATGGGCTTCACACATTGTACCCTTGTGGGGAATCGAACCCGGGTTATCGGCGTGACGAGCGAATGCTTGAACCACCGCCCCGACAGCATTAGTGGTTTTATAATATAGAAGTTGAACCATATATACGAAAAACATTCCTTTTTCAACATGAAAGAAATTAGACCCTAATTAAACGCTGATATATGATTGAGAGATGTCGACACAAATTTATACGTATGTTGAAGAACGTGTTACAAATGAAATATTTAGTCGATGACTGATAATTTTAGATAAAAATGCAATATAAGCATTAAGAAGTCCAGCGTACCATTTCACACTAAGAATAATTGCTACATTTCTACTGAAGAAAGATGAAAATCAAATGTTATATTTACATATTTTTATACGGGGAAAACCTAATGAAATGGAATATACATGGAAAACAGTAAAACGTGCTCACAACAGGAATATATGTACTATACACGGATAGTTATCAAACAGGGTCCACTTGCACAAAGCGATCTTAGCTTTCATGTGATCGTAACTCCCATACATCATAGGCTTACGATAGTCGTGGCGCTGAGATCGCTTTATGCAGTTGGATCCAGTACCACGTATACCGGTTCCAGGTACTAATGGGGGATCTTTACAGACATGGATCCCAATCCACAAAGCAATTTTAGCTCTACGACGATGAACACTTTACGCTAAAATCGTTTTGTGGCATAGGACCCTGTATCCATTGGGCTGGATAGAATCCCACAATCATGTGTTCGAATCCCAGATTCGAATTCCATATGAGTTTACAATTGTTTTCCTACAACATTAACGAAAACTAAATTCATAACAAAATGTATTTTCAGATTAAGTTAATTTTAAATATGATATAAAATATGTATATATTTGTACTTACGTGGCGAAGGGGTCCTACGGGGAGGTATAGTCCAGGGAGGGAGAGTTACCCTCGGGGGTGCAGGGGTGACTGGTGCCCGCGTCGGTCTGACAGGAGGAACATAGAGGGGGACAGTCTCCCTCCTAGAATTCCACACTTCCAAATTCTCCAGGTCGGCGTTCACGTATGTCCTGTCTTGTCCCGGCACCAGCGGGCCTCCAAAGAACGTCCTGTACTCCCGGTTCGTCACTGGTGCTCTGAAGGTTGGGACTCTTTGAGAAGCAACCCTCTGTCCGTTCAGGTACATCGTCAGACCGTACGTTGGATGCCACGACAAATCCACCTGCTGCCACCTCCCAGGGTCAAAGCCTGCTGCAGATACTTCCCATTTTCTGTCCGGTGTCTGCATTTCTGCGTTCAAACGACCGTCCCGGTAATACACAGACACGGGAAAACTGTCGATAAAGTACATTCCATTCGTTAGACGTTGTGGGCGTACAGCAAACCGAACTGTAGCACCCTGTCTGCAAGTCTCTAAGTCACCCGCACACGTGAAGTTGGATCCAAGGTCCAGGTACTGTTGGTTGCCATTCAGCCTCAGAGAAGGAGCACCACGACCATCAACGACTTGGATTCCACCGTATCCTCGGATGGTACGCCCGTCGAGATATATGTATCCACCTCTGTACTGGGACAGGTCTATGCGTATTTCCTTAGGAGCAACTGATAACAAAACAACATCATCATTACTGTTCATTATATATTTGAAATCACATCCTCCCATGACCTCCTATTCATAATGTGACGTTAAGTACTACTGTTATGAGACACAAATTTGTGTAATATTTAACATACATGCGTTAAATCTAATATTTGGCATTGGTAACTGGAACCCACAAAACATGAATCGATGAAACACGAAGTCATTATTCTTGGAACGAGAATGCTGGACGCACAAATACATGCGTTGCTACATCGAGTGCTCTCCCCTTCCCGTGTGTGATGCAGAGATCAACGGTGAAAGTTTAGAATATGAACATCGTGCAGAATATTCGGTGAAGTCTTATGATTGGATATTTCGATTTTACATGCAAACTATCCATGGTACATGCGCCCGGGTGGATGGCTTTCAACGTTTAACATGCGCAATAACGTAAATACGGGGCCAAAAGAATGAGACGAAAGAAACGCAAGACTTTCTAAAGGATGAATGGAATAAAGGTCATTGCAAACTCGCTGATAGCTGAAGGAACTACAAGACTTCGTACATTCGGAATTGAACAAATAGACTTCAATGAATCAGTACCGAGAAGGCGTGTCGAAGAATGCGAAAGGGGTCATGCAGGGTGTAGCTCTTACTACAGACTTATTTGTATACATCACCAACCAGAGGCAGGGGGATTACAAGACCTCGGGGAAAGGATTGAATTGTTTGGGTGACATCTACAGTGCTTCAAATCCAGATAAAAGTGCTGTCGACCTTTTGAACCAAGGGAAACAGAATTGCTGGATGCTTTATCGAATCTCACCTCCATACAACCCAGAACTCCTAAGTTGGTCAATGTCATCATCCCAAATCTGGAGTTCATCCATCATAATATCGGCAGTGTTTGTCGGGTTTACTTCATCTAGAGCCTTGCCGATGAAGATGTTTCTGCCAACCGGAGCGTCTCCTTGAGCTTCATCAACACCAACAGCACTATCCACCTCTTTGTCGTCCAGGTACATCTTCAGACCTTTGATGGGATGCCAGGAAAGGGTCACCCTCTGCCATCTGTTAGTTCTCAGATTAGGTGTGGAGACGGTCCAAGATTTCTCGGGCGTCATGAACTTGCTGACAAGTTCTCTGTTGTGGTAGTACACGGAGTAAGTTGGACTTGATAGGAAGACGTCACCCTCGCGCAGGTTCCTTGGCCTCATCCAGAAGGAGATTGTCATCCCGTGCTTGCAGAGTACAAGGTTACCCATGCACTTGTCCTTGTGAGGTCCTAGGTCTACGTATTGCCCTCCTCTGGTGAGGGAGGCAGCCTTACCGATCTTTCCTCTTTGCAGACGAGCGCCATTCACTAGAGTTACATTATATTTGGGATGAACCACGCGTGGTCCATTTGCCTCATCCATGAAGAAAGCCTCATAGCCATAGAAATCCGCTGAGGAGGAACAAGAGACAGACTAAGACATACATCATGCAATGCAAGTTAAATGTCTACCCTCTAACATCACATATTAATGACACATAAAAAGGGACGTAACCACGGATGATTTGATTTATTTCCCGCTGAAGGTTCTACTACGCCAAATCAGAATCTGTCGTTTAACAAAGAGCCGTCACTGCAGATCGAATCATCAGGCAGTGATTGGATTATTTTGTGTAATGTTTGTGTGTGTTTTTAATGCACATAAACCCAGTAATTAAAACTGACTATATTTCATGTGTCAACCACGTCAGTGAGCCTTACCACCAGACCCCGTTAGTCGCCTCTTACGACAAGCATGGTTTACTGAAGGTTCAAACCCGGATTGTCTATCTAACACAGGATCGGGAAAGGAACTGGATGCATTGTTTTGATTGTTATAGTTGCTTTCAGGTCAGACTTTGCACACATGTACATGAAGTAACTGTCGAGATCTACATTAAGGTTGTTTTTTTCTAAAATGTAACATGCCTATGGAAGTCAATGAAAAAATATTGGGTTTTGTGTAACCTTGAATATCCCTACGTTATGTTTGTGATATTGGGAGGAAGTGGACTTTCAACGAGTTTTTTCATCGGATGTCATCAGAATTGTCGGTCTAATGTGCGTGTTCGCGAAAGCCTCGTTTGATAATAAGAAGCACTTCTATAATATTCGTGAGTTACGTCCCTTGTGAGATATGATCGTGCTGTGCTTGATGCAAGTCATACACTCGAGTTGACGTCTGAAAAGGAAGGTGTATATTATGACATGAAGAACAGAAACTGACGACCCGAAACGTAGCCTTTCGCTACCTACCAACGTTCACTAATATTCCCCTTTTCGAAAACAGGACAATGACTGAACCTTTGAAATGCCCCTTTATATTGGTGGAAAAGACTTATTGCCAAATGTCAAAAGTTACATTGTAAGTTGTAACCATCAATAGATAAGAACAAAATTCATACCAGGGTTGTCAGTTAATCTTCCTTTTGATGCATGTATAATCGTGCACTACAAGTTAAGGATAGCTACATGTTTATGTACAAATATCTATATACATATATCCCTATATAAAAATAAATAAATAATCATCATAATAACAACAATCATAATAACAAACATAATAATGTAAACCTGTGAAACCCAATTTACTCGAAGTCTACGGGACCTTTAAGAATAATTCGAGATATCCGTTGTTCGATACAAGCAATGTACTACATGCACATATCAATATCATGTTGGTAAGGATTTTGAAATGACATATGGAGTTTAAACAGGTTTCGCTATGATATTTCTCAATACGATGCGATGTCTGGCTCAATATAATGAAATGCATTTTATATGCATATGTAACTTGAAATACATTCCGTTTCATGCATGGTCATTAACAGGATATGGATCATGATGAAATGAAAATGCCTACATGTATTAACACGTAAATGATATTTTTGTGACATCTTTAAAATCATAAAGGAGGTTTCTAATTTATTGATTTGTGTTCGGCAAGTTAACATATGCTAAATAAATATTATTATATATATTCAATTTGATCGATATATTCATCGATCATTCAAAAACCATAGGAGGCATGAAACTGATCTAAGTAAACAAAGTCATGCAAACACACAAACAAAAAACACAGCAAACAAACACAACAAACAAAACATTGTTTAACTAGCTACCACAAAATCAAGGCAATAAAAGAAATTATAAAATAATTAACATCTACTCGAGGCTTTTGGTTCAAGCCATCATAACAAGCTTTAAAGCGAGCTCAGTTAGCGATTGAAGCGTCATATAAGTATCGATTCGTCCTGCAAGAGTTGCGTCCCTTTGACTACGGGACGAACATTCTCCTGCTTGAACCGTTATTTTGCAAACAAGGAACGGAATAGAATTATAAACAGGATTGAATTAATAATAAAAAAATAAGTAAATAGTTTTGGGTAAAATTAGATTAGTAGGATGCTCGTAACATAAATAAAAAAAACGTGGTGCAAATTTAAACAAGACTTATTAAAATCATGTCTTAACATTAAGAATTAAAAAATATTTTAAATGTTTCAAACCTTTCGCGAACAGTACTTGTGTACAACAGAACCCCGTAAATTAAGACAATACCTATACTGATCAAAACGCCTGAATTCTTTCCTAGCGTATCTGCTAAGAGTGAAACTTTAATGTAACTTGGAATATTGTCCAAAACAGTAAATGTCCGGATAGTAAGGAATCCTGATTAAACAGGTTCCCTTTCATACAGGTTAGACTTTAAGATTTATATTCTTTTTCTTATATCAATTCGAATAAAAAAAGAAAAGGATATTATTTTCATGAAGTCCAAAATCCAAATTCTGGGTTAGAATAACTTTTAGGTTATCAAACATATCAGTCAGGGATTCAAAAGAGATTAATAGAGGAAATGCATGCATTTCTAATGAGACAGAGCATTACCCAGGCCTAAGCAGATACACTACTTTGAGACTTTCCCCATGGAGCTGTGAAACCAAAGCTTTAAAGGCCATTAAAATCAGCAAGAAGAATATAGACAATAGAAATACATTGTGTTAACATTATACGCCAGCGCCAAGGAATAATCTTAAACATTGCATAATGATACACCCTATGCTAGACGATTAATGTATGTTTATGTATACATGTATACAGAGGAATAGATACATTAGATAAAATTAGATATATATATCTTTTTGTCTTGGTATTGAAATCATTCATATTATAAAATATATATATGGGATATAGGTTTTAGATATTCTTCTGGAATAAGAGAAATATATATCGTAATTAACATAATATTAGGTATTAGTGTATTGATACGTTGTGGCTAACCTACGTTTAATACAACATCAACCTTATTTTCTATGCCCTAATGTTCAGCCCTGTGATGCATGCAGTGAGGTTTAGGGTACAGAATCTGCTGTAACTAAGCCGTGAATGTGCGCTATATTGTTACATTGTATCATCTATATAATACAACGTGTACAAGTAATTCAAGGCCGTTTGTAATTGTACAAGATCAACTACTCATGTTGCTAACCTGACAGACTTAGAGACTGATTAGCGGTACTGACGGAAGAGACACGTCGCTAACAGCCAATCAGCTTTTAGAATTTAGTAAGTAATTACATGCAGGGCCACTGCAGTTCTACTGAGCATGCGCAGTTAAGATGCTTTGGTTGGTACCTGGTTGCGTAGCTACATCGACTGCTGAAACAAGTTCTTTGATGTATATAGTTGATGAGTGAGTGAAGAAACAATGATGACGCCAAATCGGCGAATTCAGCCAGCAGAGGCGACGATCATGTTTCAGGAATGAATAGACCGGAAGCAGAGCCATGGTTCAGCTAGTTTTGATGCGGTTGTGGATATTGTTTCATCAGCATCCACACCGTTGCAGGGATATGGGATGAGGACAATGAAGTCGACATTATCGCCATTAGATCCTTACAGGGTGATAGGAAACAGCCTAACGAGATGTTGATAGCATGAACATTGCGCACACGTCATTTAGGAAGTTTTGGGACCTCAACCAGCAGGTGACAGCCTCGAACTGAAAACTGCTAAGTGGCCATTTACTCAGATTAAGGAAGCACAGATGTCTAAACCTGCATGAGTACCCAGCTCCTTTTCAAATGCACACGGATTCATTTAATACTTTTACACCAAATGTGCATGAATTATGAATGTATTCTTTTTGCAATCGCGAAACAACTTCATGGCGAAAATGTACTGATGACAATGGTTCTTGGCATGGCCGTAAAACATCAAGCGCATGTGATCATGTGAACTTGATATTATTTATACAAAGCAAGAAACTGTGGAGGGTCCCGGATGTCAAGGCACTGCAGTAAAGGATTCCTATGTTTGCAAGAAACCAATTATCATAGGTACGAAACCCAGAATTGACATGATTATGATATTTGCTTTTCCTTAAGTTGGGAAGGTCATAGACCTTCGTCACTTCGGGATTGAAATGACGCGCCATATCGGCGTCCCTTAGCAAACCTGGTCCGCCACTGAGGGAAGCTTCGTGTTCAACAGTAGTGCAGATGATTCACGGTTACAAGTCTATCTGATATACCTTCATGTGGCACTAATATGAGTAGAACTGGTTTCTATGAAGCGGTGTTATGAAGAAGCAGTGAAAGCTGCGATAACATGAGATGAGTCTATGTCAGAGCATGACATAGACACCAAACCCACACTGAACCGAAACACAAGAAAAACTCACAGAAAATACATATTATGAATAGGTCGCAAATAACGCGAATCATAGTTATGCCTGAACTAATTGAAGCAATGAAACTAACAAGAACAATAGATTCCATATTATAGAACATTTAACTGATATATCTGTTCATGTCAGAAATATACCAAAAGTTTAGAGATGCAATAGTTGCAATTAGCGTTTTAAAATCCCTCTATACAATAGGCTATGGACGTCTGTTCATGTCTCATATCGCAGACATGGCATACCCAGGTTCCTGCCTTTAATCCCCAAAATCAAAACTGAGATTCCCTAGACTCAAATAAGTTATACTCTGCTAAACCCCTGCACTATATTTATAATCTGATTTGGTTCAGTGTGGATCCAGTGTTTGCGACTGAAAGAAAGTTATTTGTGATGTAAATGATGTCTTTTACGACTAATTATAACGAAAAATATCTAATGCGTGGAACTTTCAAATATCCATCCTCATGTGATCATTGTTCTGATCAGATGAAGTTCACTTTGTCTGAAATCACTCAATGAATACAATGTCGTGTCTGATACAGTTAATTATCGGCTTTTCAAATGCGAATTTTTGTAAATACAACATTATTGTTAGTGGTAGTCATCTAGAGGCTGCACAGGCACATTGCAGTCATATGTTTGTATTATTATTACAAGGATATCGTTAGTAGGCTGACTATATTTAGCAAATTAGTTGAGCATCTAACAGTGGACTTACGTCTGTCGATGTAACCCAATGCTAACAGATCATCACGCCGGCCATACAATATTTCCAGCTCGTCGATATCAAAACTCCCGCCAGTAGAAGTTCCCCCGCTTGGTGTATCACCATGGTTACCACGGCCAACGTAGAAACTTCCGGGATAACGAACGTTAATGTCTTCAAGCTTTGCATCCGGGTCACTGGCTACTAGTTTATTGTCGAGATAAAATTCAAGGCCATGGTCAGGTGACCAGGAGATCTCCGTGTAATACCATCGGCCCTGTTGGGGGTACGGGATGGATACTTCAGTCCCACCCTTGGCGCTGGCGTATAGGTAGCCATTACGGGAAACCAGAACGAGGCCGTGACGCCCAGTAGACAGGTATACCATGTTGTTCTCGAATCTGTAAGAAGAATAGGATGTCTGGTTAAATTTATACATGGGGTGTATGTGTAGAGGCGTCCAATACGAGAAGCAATTAATTCATCGTGTAATGAATGACACAAACGCTGTTCAACCTTTGCTTCGTATAACATAAGGTGACAGTGCCATTTTCTTTTTCATCTACACAACTTGTGAAAAAGTGTTTGAAGCGACTTTATTCCGATTCCGTTTTTGACTACCTGATTCCTGAAAGGTGAACATTTATGGATGTCAACTTCTTTATCACGAGGAACAAGATAATTTGGAGCATGTGCTTACACCTTCATCTGATAAAGCAGTTATGACGTCGGAGTAAGAATGTACTCAAAAATGTCGTGTCCCTTATACTGTAATGTGCATCACATCTTAAAGCCGTTCAAAGATATTCTTCGAAGGGAGCCTAAGAACTCACTTGTTCCATTTAGTTACTACCAGACTTCATCATTCCATCTTTAAAGTACTCCCCACCCCGCACCCCCATCGCGATATACTAACTCCTTTTTCCCTCAATTCTTTCGCTGATGATGAAAGAACAATTCTCCTTACCTATTGAACCGAATCCAGGCTGATATTGTGATCCCCTGAAGACACTTCTTAAGGTTACCCATACATTCTTCTGAACGGTCTCCAATGTCCAGGAACTGACTTCGGTCTCTGACTTGCAGGGCGTTGCCGACTTTACCGGGGATGAGACGCGCGTTACCGACAACGCGGATTGGCAGTGAGGTGTGGACGAGACGATTACCCTGGATTTCTTCCATATCAATGATGTAATTCTTTGGTTTACCTAAAAACATTAAAAATTTAACAAAATTAAGTTTTAACTGGGACAGACATCAAGGTGATAGAATTGTACAGAAATGGTATTCAATGATAAACTGAAGAATATACCCGATATTACTTCGGAGTGCAGTTTGTCGTGGTTAAAGAGTTTGCGAGTCACGCTGAAGACAAAATAAAGGTACAATGTATGACAACCCTTTCCGGTGTGCAACCCTGTCATATTTATTAATATCGCTGAAAGTGGCATAACGCCATACTGATTTACTCACACTTAAAACTTAAATAATTGTCATTACTTGAGGTTTGGAGATTTGAACATCTGGATCCCTTTTACACAAACCGATTTTAGGGACCTACTATTTTATAGGGTTGCCTGTGATACGTTTTGAGACAGGAGATTTTACTGTCACTTGTCAGAAAGCAGAATATCATATGGTCAATACCTCAGTTCGAATGGGCGTGTTTGAGTATATGACCTCATATGGCTCAAGTGCTACCTTCGAGTTCGCGTTAAGGAGACTATTGTACATATGTTTCCGATTTGTCTTTACTGATACGTGAATGTATTTGCATGTATTTTGCGTCACTCACCTCGGTGGATGTAGCCGAAGGCAGACAAGTAGTCCCTGTCCGCGTACCAGTATTCCATTTCATCATACTGACCAGCACCATATTTGGCAGTGCTCATGTCCAGATTACCTCTCCCCAGGTACACACGACCACTGTCACCACTACTGGATGACCTTGGCATTCTCTTGTCCGAGGAAGCCACCAACTGGTTGTCCGAGAACAGACGGAGTCCCTTCTCCTCAGACCAGGACACCTCCACATGGTTCCACATCTTCGGATCTATAGCATCAGTGGACAGTTCCCAGGTATTCGTGGAGGTTTTGGCCGAGACGTGCAGACGTCTGTTCTTGTACCACATGGTTATACCATTCCCGCCTGTGGAGAAGTAGTAAGCATCTCTCTGGAACTTCTCTGGCTTCATCCACAAGGCAATGGTGGCACCATGGTTACAGTTGTCCAGGTTGCCGAAGCAAGTGTTAGCGTGGTCGCCGAAGTCTACGTACTGGGACCTACCATCCAGTCTAATAGCATTGCCAAGCTTTCCAGGAACCATATTTGGATTTCCGTATGTCCGTACGACCATGGACGGGTGACGGATACGATTTCCTTCAAGATTTTGTAATGGGAACTTGTAAACAACTGGACGAACTGCAATACAAGCATTCACAGCTGTCAAAAACTCACATGCGATGTGATTCGCAAAAGCAATTAATAGATGCATGTATTAATTAATATTAGATAAGATCATATAAGATTGATAGTAACACATTTTAACTGAGTAATCATTCATCAAGGTGTCTTTTCACCAAAGTGTATCAGTCCGATGTGGTAAATTTTTCAAAATTCATATTCTGTTTCGGAATTCAGATAGAAATATAAGTCTCTAACAGGTAGATTGAAATTTCATACTCTGTCTTAAAATACATTTGTACTGATAGTTCGTTTTGCAATTGACGCACGTCATGTACAGTTGGATGTTGTTAACGTCACGGATGTTTCTAGGTGTTAGCCCAAGTTGGTGACATTTCGACTTGCGAAAAAACTAAACTAGGTACCTCCTGTAAAATATGCTTCACTCACTTCTTTCAATGAAACCAACATCAATCAACTTGTCTCTGTCAGCGTAGAATGCCTCGAAGTTGTCAATAGCAACGTTAGCTCCCCTTTGCCAGCTCTCGGGGTTATTGGCCCGGCCAAGGTAAAACTTCTTGTCGTTGGTGGTAGGAATGCTCTTGTGTTTATCAGTGGGCTGGCTGGCTACCCTCACTCCGTTCAGATAAAGGGTGAGACCCATTTCTCTCGACCAGGAGACTTCCAGGAAGTACCAGACGCCCGTGGTGATGCCCTGGAATAGCATAGTGATAATGGTGTATTTGGTTGCGGGTTGTTTCTACTGCACTTATCAATATTCCAACAATGTGATACCGACTTGGTCTTTACCGGACGACCCGTGAAGATCCGGGTTAGAATTGGTCTTCAGTAACTCATGCTTGTCGTAAGAGACGACTAACGGGATTGGGTGGTCAGGCTCGCTGACTTGGTTGACACATGTCATCGTATCCCAGTTGCGTAGATCGATGCTCATTGTGTTGATCACTGGATTATCTGGTCCAGATTCGATTATTTACAGACCGCCGCCATATTGGTCGAATATTGCTGAGTGCGGCGTAAAACTAAAGTCACTCACTCACTTGACCGGAAAACCCAGTGACGGATATAAGGAACAACGATCTACGTCATCAGGATATGATGACCTGACCACCCGTTATTTCAGGTCGGTATTTACGTCAGGCATGTTTTGCTGGGAACAATTGTCACCCGCAATCCTCAAGAAAAAATATTTTAATGACATGATTCATATAATATATAGTGGAACCTTATTCAGAATGCATTTTTCTTATTTATATTATTCATCCTGGAAAACATAAATCCTTTCTTCTAAAAGGATGCAGATGAGTGAGTGAGTTTAGTTTTACGCCGCTTGTGGCAATATTCCAGCAATATCAAGGCAGGGGGCAGCAAAATGGGCTTCACACATTGTACCCATTTTGGGAATCGAACCCTGGCGTGAAGAGCGAACGCTTTAACCACTAGGCTACCCCACCGCCCCCGGATGCAGATGAAGAGCATTCACATAAAAAGGTAATGAAACTTACGACTCCTTTCATCATAATTAATTTGTAAAACATATTTAATATTTCTAAACAAATTCTCTCAGAATGAAGACAATACCACAAAAAAGATGTTTCGTCGACAGGGATGATACCTGGCTACTTATAATCTTGTTTTTGTTTGTTTGTTTGTTTGTTCGTTTGTATGCGGGTTAAACGCGACCCACATCAGTATTCAAGCTATCTGACGGTGGTCTGAACACAAACAACATGATCATCGATCTACGTCACTGAGGTACATGCCACTGATGATGACGTGCACGACGAAGTTATGTGATCCCGTTAGTCGTCTCTTACGACAAGCATGGTTTGCTGATGGCCAGTTCTAACTGAGTTATCTCCCTTACCTGGTAGTAGGTCTCCCAGAATCTGTCAAACATGGAGGCGGTGGCGTGAAGACGGTTGTCGGTGTAGAAGACGTTTACACCTTTTGGTGATGAAAAGAGGTAACGTGTGTTGCTGTCAAGTCTTGTGAAGGACACCCACATCGAGGCGTAGAACCCATAGCGGCAGTTGATGAGGTCGCCCATGCACAGACCGTTCACGTCGCCAAGGTCGACGTAATCAGAGCCACCTCTCAAGTTGACAGCACTCCCCACCCTCCCAGGGACCAGCCGCACCCCCGGGCTGACCATCGCCTCGGTCGTGGAGGAAGAGATTCGATCACCCTGTAGTTGGTCAAAGTTGAGGTTGTATTTGTAGAATGGACCTTAAAAAGAAAAAATATACCGTCTTTTATTGTCACTTTTTAAGGTTTAAGGTTAACATAAACAAACAAACCAAAGAATTAAATAAATAAATGTCACGTGTGATATTCACAGAGTGAGTGATTATGATTTTACGCAAGTGTTTTCGTGCCCACAAGCCAGATTGGGAAAATTGAGAATTGGGCTCCAAACGTTGTACAGCAATGTCGGTATGGAACTCGGACAGTCGATGTGACGAGACAACGCCCAAGCCCTCTGGCTTATTCGACCTTTGATAGTATCACTGTCATAGATGTAAGGATTAGGCCTCTAAATGTCGTATTAGGTACAACTGAAAAAGGTTTTGCAAGGACTTTCAAGGTTCGACTGATTATGACAGTGTATGTAATATGGCCCGTCAAAAAGGCTGGCAACTTTTGGAAGTTATTCTCTAATTTTGCCATTTAAATAGACCAATTATCACATTCGGTCTGTCTATTTTTCAAACTTATTTCATAGGCTGATAATAATATGGCAAATTCAAATTATTTTTTAAAAACTTTGCATTGTTCAATTACGTGTAACCCTATGTTTAAACTAAACAGTATTTCGGTTCAGATTAAATCATGCCTAATGTTCATCTTGGACATACCCGTTTCTCGAATTTCTTTCAAGGTCCTGTACATGGACATAAAGAACACTTCGTCCACAGTCATGACGCCCAGTCTGTCCGTCCCCGTCCTGTCGTTAGCCCGACCAATGACGAAGTCGTTGTAACGGGCATTCGCCCTCGCTGGCGATCTTCTCGTCGGCTTCATATCATGAGCGACCTGTTCGCCGTTAATGTGCAGTACGAGTCCAATGGAGTCCGACCAAGAAGCCGCCACGTGGTACCACCGGCCTTCAAGAAGGTTGTCGTACATGACAGTCCACTCGTTGCCGTCGGGTTTCTTAAAGACGTACTCCAGCTTTCCCTTGGAGTAGTACATGGCGATGCCGTGGTTGTCCGACCTGTGGCCGCCGTTGGAGAGGTACACGCCACGCCTATTGCCAACGCCATCAAACTTGAGCCACATTCCTAGATAGTACCCTGAAAATAGAAAACATCTGATGTATTTTAGAACGGGGCTGCGGGTGATTGGTTATAGGTGAGGTGAGGTGAGGCTAGGTGAGGTGAGGTGAAATTGGGTTTAACGTCGTGCTTGAGAATATTTCGCTCATATGACGACGTGCATGCGTGTGTATGTGTATGTGCGGCTGCTTGTACTAGCCCAGACTAAAGCTGGTTTTATAGTGCTAGCCCACTGAGATACCATGCCGCAGTGAAGCATGAATACCCCACTCAGACACATTATACTGACTCCGAGCCGACCAGTCCTTGTTGTACCCATTAATGCCGAGCGCCAGGCAGGGACCAACAAGTACCATATTTTAACGTCTTTTGGTATGACGCGATCGGGGATTGAACCCGCGACCTTCCGCCCTCCGGGCGGACGCTCTAACCACTACACCACGGAGGCGATCCATTGGTTATAGGCTAAAAGGTAATGAGGAATAAGTATCCTTATAAACCTACTGTCAAATTTTAAGTTACAGAAATCTTTACAAGATTTGTATAATTATTAGATATGTTTAAATGGACGGCACGCCCTCTTTATAACCGCTGCCAATCTTAGATTCCTTACATTAGTCAAGTATGTATGATTGGCTATTATGAGAGAACAAGTGATTTTTCGAACTTCAAGAGGGGCGGTGAGGTAGCTTAGCAGTTTAAATAATCGCTCGTCACGCCGAAGGCCCAGGTTCGATTCCCACATGGGTACAATATGTAAGCCCATTTCTGGTGACGGTTGTTTTTCTGGTGACGGTTTTTTTCGGTGACACCAGGTGCCGTTTGTAATTACACGCACTCAGCAATATTCCAGCGATCTTGTTCAGCGACAAACATTCTTAAGAGATATTGTTAAAGGCGTCTTCTAGTGATATATTTTGTACTGCTTGATGTAATGGACGCAAGCTTTCATCACTTGGCTACACATGTAGGTATTTTAGAATATCTTACAATGTCGGTATATTAGAACTTGTATATGAACCTACCCCTCATGTACGACATTAATGGGTACATCATCTCATTATCGTCATTTAGAAAACAACAAAATGTAAATTATTAATTATATATATTTTACAACAACGTGTCATTTATTTAAGCACTATGAATACAATTATATCGTATGATAATCCAACAATCCTCACTATAACTGTCAGTGATCTGATGAATCGCAAGGGAGAAAGTGCAGACAGAATCATTTGAGATCTAAGGGAGACAACTCGTCCAGTACTAACCTGTAGAGCATTCCTTCAAGTTTCCAAAGCACTCCCGCTTATGTCCAGGGCCCGTTACTCGGATATACTGCGTCCGTCCATTCAGTCGGATCGCCTTCTTGATTGCGCCTTGGATGAGATCCGGGCCTCCATAGACCCTTGAGTCCAGACCGGAAGGATTCCAAAGGTCACGGTTGTTCACTTGGTCCATAGGAAGGTAGTACCGGGTGGTAAACTCTGAAACAAACACATCCAGTTGAATTAAACATGCCTTTCAAATGCTTCCACAGTAAAATGTTATAACAGTGTTATTGGATCCAAATGAACGCCCGTGAATTTTTATTACTGGACCATTCAATACCAGTGAGTGAATGAGTTTGGTAGACTAACATCTTGTCTCTGAAATGAACATATTTTACACACAAAAAATTATGTTCATGAAAAATATTGAAAAAAAAGGGCCCAGAGGCTATCTTCTTTTCCTGATTTCCTGAAACTGTGGTAATCTTGCAACATATTCTAGACTTGGATGGGCTTTATTGAGTATTTGTTTCAGGGACTGCATAGGTTAAATTTACTAAAATATTATTGCATGTAGCATGATATTGTGATGAATGTTAAAAAACGTGAACTTAGTTTATTCACAGTACAACTAAAGATATTGTCTGTTAACTTCCAGAGAACCTGGCTTATCAAAAAATTGTTTAGTTTAAAATACAGTATTACAGCATGAATTTAATGTCGGAGAAGCGAGATGATGTAACGTATATTTGACAAGTATTAATGTCATGTATCATTTGGTCATGGTTGTGTAATCGTCAAATTTGTGGAGATCCAAAGACAAATATGTTTCATTTTTCTTATAAAAATGGCAAGACTCTGGTATATAGCTGGAATATTTTTGACTGCATTTGACCAACAATCCAAAAACAGCAAATGCGCTCATACATAACGAGTGAACTGCCGTAGACTCTCTTTCAACCATTAAGTGAGCGGAAATAGTGAACTATTGACATTTGCTAGTCATTACGCTGACGCCGGGCCATGCGATGTCAATAGCAAGGTTGACTGACATTTACAATGCTGGGCGCATGGGCTAACAATGTTCATTTCAGAATGAATGAGTCAATGAAGGTTATATGTAATTAACTATTTCTGGAAGATACATAATATAATTGTCGTATCACTGGAGCATACATCCGCTCCAGATATATATATTTGATCTGTTTTCAATCAAGTTTACACATTGGAAATCACATATTTTTACATACACGGATATGAAATTGATTGAAATTGATTGCAGTTGTTAACGTAAGTTTTTAACTCTTAAAGGTTACTGTCGGTCTACTGTAAGGCTAACTTGGGATAAAACGTAAGTAAAATAGCTTTTATGTTGTCAATTTCCATATTAGATCACTGTTTGCAACGGCATTGCAGTTCTGAATATCTCATATATGTTAATATGATCATATATTCTAATTAATTCAGTTCATAACATCGGACACGAGGGTTGTCCTTTAGCAGTCCCTTCCATGTACCTCGGCTCCAAAGAAGGTCATACCATCTATCTAGCCCGTCTCCTTGACAGTCAGCGGTAGATCGCATTACATGGGATTCCTATCACCCCCGCGTTCCCCCGTCAACAAACAGGTGACTCGCTAATTAACTCTGTACCCAACTTTGGTTCGCCCACCGCCAAAGCATAACAAGGATGGGCTGGGGTGAGCATTAATCCTCTTATCACACGCATGTTGTGAAAAGACAGAGATAAGGACAGCTCTTCTAGTGGTCTTGTAATATTATGTAAATACACATGTGTGAGTGCTCTCCTGTCAGAGCCACTGTGCTATCAGTTTACATGTACGTATTCCTACTACCTTCCACATATACACATATACGTGTAACCCTATACGTTATATACACAGGGTTATGTTGAACCCGACATGTCATATAAGTTTGTATCGTCACCTACATGAGTAGTATGAGCAAACATAGACTGACGCTTAGTCTCTGAATATATATCATTTTGATAGTCACAAATAAACCCACTGAAATTTGAAAAGGAGCCCCAGTGAGATGAAGAACTCTAGACTTGCTTCATTTTCGGCTTTAGCATTGCAGGGAGGGCTAGGCAGTAGGGAAGATAATGTGGTTCAGGGCTGTGACACAGACTAGGGTAAATGAAATATATGTTTTATATAATTGTATTTACAGAGATGATGGCTACCTTGATCTGACTAGGAACAGACCATCTCAGCAGATACAGTTGAAACGTTGATGAGAAGACAGAGAGAAAGAAATGTTCATGAAATGCCACTATAAAAATGTCCATGTCCTGTCCACACATTAATGTTCATAAGCTGTTCATATAGAACAGATCATTAGCTGTCCGTATATAACAGCGAAATAATTTTTTGAACATTTGTAGGATATCATTTGTGAATGAGATAAAATGAGATATAACAGTGCACACTAAAAACTCTACACCATTATATAGCCTAGAGTCGGGTCATAAATACAGTTAACATAGAACACTCCCATCGCTCCGTGACTTTTGTGCGCTGATCTGTAGCGGTAGATTTTAGGGTGTTGCTTACATGAAAGGAATGACACACATAAAACCCATATATTTTTAAACACAGGTAAGCATTTGTCATTAAGTATTTCCGATGTAAGTTGAGTGGGTGGGAAGGTGTGCAGTGTTTTCATATCTCAATAACACATTGCATTTGTGTGGGTTTCATTCGCAATACAGACCATTACTAGCTTTTGAAAGGTTCAAATTCCCTGTTCAAGATTGTGTTCGATTAAATAAAATCACATGTTATTTGATGTTGATGGTTTCAATTGTCGAATGTTCGCAGTAATGAATAATATATTACTCAGAAAAAGTTAGGGATCAGCCGTTTCTTTCATGACATGACTGATTAATGTAGTAATATGAAATAATAGGGTGTCCTTAACCTCTTTTGAGTGACAGATTAATGTGACTGCATAGTAATAAGAACAATCGGATGATCCTTAACATATCTGAATAGCATAGATGAGTCTGGTGTGGAGGAATAATGCGAGGTTGTGAATGTTATTTTATGGCGCAGATAGCAATATTACATCTATGATAAACCGTCATGGTTGATGGCACACGCAACGCTTCACGGATTCGGTGAGTTGATGTTGATGTTTTATGTACGCCATAAACCATTAAGCCCCCTCACACAACAAGATTAGATCTATTCTATGTTAGAATCCCCAAACACAAATTCAAAGGGAGAATAAGCAACAACTACGTCTTGTCGTTCAAAAAACACTATTCAGTCTTAAGGTCAATCTCATAAAGCACGAACTAGTATATAGGTGTACACACACACTTGCACCAGTCTCTAAGGTAATAATTGATAGTTTAACTGGAAATATCTAAAAACAATATAAATAACTGTCGTAATCTCCGCTTATCTAGACTTGCCACTTTAAAGGATAGAATTATTATATATCCATAGGCTTAGCATTCAGCTCGTACAGCCTTGGAGCAAGGCTAGTGTATACATTCTTCATCCCGTTAATAAGTGTAGGATATATGGTTGCAACAATCTATTAGTACAACAAGAGCTTAATTGTTGATAAAACTTTGATAACAGGCAAACATATTATACCGCAGAAGGAGAGTCTTGTGTTGTCTCCGAGTGAGTATGTGAATGAATGAGTGTTTTGTAATATTTTAGCAATATTCATACATTGTGTCCATGCGAATCGAAACCCGGTCTTCAGCGCGACGAGCGAACGCCTTAACCTCTGGGCTACCCCATCACCCCGGTGAGTGAGTTGGGTTTAGTGTCCTACTGATCATTATTTCAGTAATGGCACCGGGTTTCATGAGAGGCATGGTGCCAACAACTTTAGAAACATGACTGAACCGGGATTCCAATCAAGATCGTACATTTATTATAAAAAAATATGAATGAGCATATTGGTAGTTGAGGAACATTAAAATCCTCGCCCACCTGTGCCCCCCTTTTCAGCAAAACAAGCGTTGACATTAAGTGTGATAAACAAAGTCACATATAGTCTGTGAAGCCTTGTATAACGCGATAACGTACCAGTTCTTAACTCCACTTCATTTGTGGAATAGGAGTAGCAAGATTAGATTATGTTTCATCTGGACTGGTTTTGATCGGATCAAATGTATATTCCCCTTGACCGAACAATGCATATATTTTCCTCTGTTAAAGTGGATTAATCAGTGACAGTTAACACTGAGTCAAAGGAGTCTTATACTTGAGGTGAGGTGAGGTGAAATTGGGTTTTACGTCGTACTTGAGAATATTTCGCTCATATGACGACGTGCATGCGTGTGTATGTGTATGTGCGGCTGCTTGTACTAGCCCAGACTTAAGCTGGTTTTATAGTGCTAGCCCACTGAGATACCATGCCGCAGTGAAGCATGAATACCCCACTCAGACACATATATACTGACTCCGAGCCGACCAGTCCTTGTTGTACCCATTAATGCCGAGCGCCAGGCAGGGACCAACAAGTACCATATTTTAACGTCTTTTGGTATGACGCGGTCGGGGATCGAACCCACGACCTTCTGCTCTCCGGGCGGACGCTCTAACCATTACACCACGGAGGCGGTTTCTTATACTTGAGAGTAGTGGAGATGTAAGCATTGTGACCATGCTACAAGGGAAATTGATACACTGCATTTTTGTAAACGGTTAGAACATTAACTGTCGGTCACAATAGGTAATAATTTTCTCATAGGGAACAAAGCATTTAGGGTTCAATGGACTTAAGCCAACATTGCTGGTACTGACAAATATACCGATGTTGGTTAACATTTTCAGGTTTGGTTAAAGCGTTTTGGTGACGCTACTTTCGGGTATCCAAACACCAATAACTTGTACCAACAAGATTATTATAATTTTCTGTAGTAGTACAAACCTTGTATTACATAAACAGACATAATTTCAGCGGCTCACTCATCGGTGAAAGTAAAACGTGAGAATGTAGGGATTCCATCTTGTAAAGCGATATCTGCATTCGATTGATGCCATGTGTTAGGAAAACAAAACCCCTCATCCGATTCCCATTATCTGTTATTACAGGGAAGATGCTCCTCATGGGGGCAATCGCAGCACCCTATGGGGCAATCACTGGAGCCATCAGTGGAGAAGAGAACGCAAGGCCAGCGGTCAGTATCAGCTTCCAGATGGCTCAACTGGGTTCAGTCTCATAAC